GTCACACGCCTCTCTGAGAACTTTACATATGGTAACTCATTAAATCCTCACACCACCCTCTGCTATTATCTCCAATTTAACCTGCCCAAGTTCATAGCTAGTCAGTGGAGCAACTGGGATTTGAACCCACATAGCATAGCTCTAATCAAATACTATGCCACCTCTCCACCAAGCAAACTCCACCTGCAGACCAGGAAGCCTTTGTCCTAGAACTGCACTCAGATCTCTTGATATCCCAAATGTCTGGCATACAGCAAGAGATCACTAAATGTGTTCTGAATTTAGCTGAAATTCATTTAGCTTGCATTCCCAGGATTTCCTCAGACATATATTCGGTCTCCCTGAACTGTCCATGAGATCAAGGAGAAAGGACTAGGTCATTTGTTTTCTTCATAGGCACACAATCACAAAGCAAGATGAGATGTGAGTTGAGCTCTAGAGGTGCAGCTGAAGGAAAACTAATTTTGGATTTAAATGTGTCTTGTGTGTGCAATTGACAAAGTCTTTTTCACATGCCTGATCTCAACAGGTGTTATCAACAGCTGAGGTAGGTGGAAGGATGTGAGGAAGATAAGAAAACTAGGTGCAGATTGTTTGAGAACTGGTGGAGACCTCAGAGCTAGAAATAGCTGAATGAAGTAAAAACCCGCAGCCTCTGAATAAAGCACCTGAAAGCCAGCCTCCTGTCCATGGGTGTGGTCCTGGGCAGCTGTGGCCATCAGGAAAGGAAGACAGTTGGGTCAGCTCCTCCCCTGGCAGCCTGAGCAGGGGTGGGAAGCTGGTGAGAGGGTAAAGGGGAGCCTGGCAGGGTGTTCTAGAGAGGAGGCCAAGTGAGCAGAGGTGAGCCAGGATGTGTTAAGAGCAGGCCAGCAGGTTCGGCAGCCTCTGAGGGCTTCTCCAGTGTTTGGTTACCTTTACCAGATGGGACACAACACCATGGGAGGCGACATGATTTCCTAGTGGTCTGATAATATAGATATGAAGAGTCAGGAAAAACTGGCTTGTCTTTCCATCAGTTGGAGGTAGTCAATGCTTCCCTATCGTGTGTAACTATCCCACTGCGTTTCTAAAAATCTATACCTCTATTTTATTGTCTAACTCAGCACAACCACAGATAGAATTTACTCAATGCCACGTGTAGAAGGAAGGATTTTCAGGCCAGGAGATGAGCTCTGCAAAGGGAAGTTTTCCTTAGTAGAAAGGGCTAGTGAATTCCTAGCCAAAAGACCTGCTCCATCTTACTAGCTGGGTGGTCTTCCGCATGTCTCTTCATCCCCCTGGGTTGTAATCTCCTCTGCTGTAAAATGGGGATGAAAATACCCACCTCCCCACCTCCAAATGAGTGCTATGGCAATGACTTGCACGAAGGCCTGGGAGCGCCCAGCCAAGGCTTTCTGCGGATCTAAACCGTCTCCAGGGTCTCTGTCTCACCCTTCACAAATTCAGGAAACGAATGAAACACTGCAGATGTCTGCGCAGAAATGCAGGGAGAACCTCCTCCAACAGGGGACCTCCCGCCCCTGCAGCTCTTGAAGTGAAGTGATGACTCGCGGATAGCCAGGCTCTTATTGCAGCCTCCACAGGGGGCGAGGCCGGCTAAACTTCGGGGGCGCAACGGGGTGGGTCTGGAACCCGGGTTTCTTGGCCCAAGGCACGGAAGGCGTGGGGATTGCTGTTCCCGGCCCGGCCCCTCCGGGTGGCTGCAAAGCGCCCCTGGGGGCAAGTCCAGCGGCACGGCCCCCAACGCGCGCAGCCCGGCTCGGGAACCGCTTAGCTTACCTGCGGCTCCACCAGCCAACGCTGCTCGGCGCCGCCGGGCGCCGGGCGCGGGGCGCGGAACGCGGAGTACACTGGGATGCGGTCCCGGGTGCTGTAGAGGGTGGCGAAGCGCTCAGCGCCCTCCGCGCGCTGACAGATCTTCACGTGGGAATCTGTTGCCAGACCCGCAGGAGGGGTCCCGGCGTAGAAGAACTTGTCACATTCGCCAAAGCCGGCCTCCTCCTCGCCTACCAGCCGGCCTTCCAGCAGCCCGGCCAGGGCGAGGAGGCTGCCCAGCGCAAGCCAGCGCTCGGTGCCCATGGCGGCCTCTGCGAGCGCGGCAGGGCAGAGCGGCTGGAGCTCTGCGGACTGGGCGCGGAGCGCGACGCAGCCGGGCCGGGTAGGGAAGGGAAGTAGGAACCCAGGCGCGGCGCTCGGCGGAGCCAGGGGGGCGGCCCGGGCGGCGGGGGCGGGTCCGCGTCTGGAGGCCGCGCCTACCTCGTCGAAGATGGCTGCAGAGGCCCGGGCCAGGCTCTGCGGTGCTGATAACCTCCCTTGGGCTGCGCCCGGGACTGGAGACGCGGTCACCTGCCGCTGCGCCGCCTGGTCTCAGCAGTCAGCGGGGACGTGAGCTGCTAAGAATGGAGAATCCGAGTGGGGCGGGCCTTGTCCAAGGGGCTGGGAAGGGACAGTCGCCTGGACTGGGCGCCAAGAAGCCTGCTGATGGTGTGCGCCCCACGGCCGTCCTGGGGATGCAGAGGGGCGGCGTGAGATGTTCCCGGAGCTGCGGCTGTTCGGAGTGAACCGGCAGAGTTCCCCTCTGTAATCTCATGAATACCGTCTCCCCCGCTCCACCGAAGTGCTCAACCGCCAGCACAGGCATACAATTTTGATGCAGGTTTTTGTTTCGTTTTGTTTTTTAGCTCATCAGAAACTCGGAGACTCAAGGAATCCTGTGAAAGGAAGTCCCTAAACTAGGCAGACAGTACAACCCTGCTGTGGTTTCTAGGTGCAAGGCTTAGAAACCAAACCGATGCCAAGCAAGGAAGGAGGTCAGCCAATGTCATTGGTGGATAGGTTAGCCAGTTCTTTCCTTCATTTATCCCTCTGAATGCCTAGGTGCCACCCTGAGATAGGCACTGGATTACCACAGGGTAAACAAGAACAGGGCCCCTGCGGTCACAAAGACAGCCTAGTCGGAAAGCTTGTCATTAACCGAGGAAGCATGCTATTAAAGGGATAACTAAAAACTGAACACAGATCTGTGAGGCCCTGATGGCTACAGGGGTTCGGGATGTAATCTGGGAAAGTTTGCCTGAAGAAGTGGCATCTGAGCTGAGACCTGGAGGATGACATTAACTAGGCAAGGAGGAGAACCATGTGCTCAGTGGTCTCTCACGGAAGGGAACATGATGCATTGGAGGAATTTAAGGAAGGCTAGTGTAGGCAAAGGATGGATAACTGCATGGGGGATGATGGGAAGTGGGGCTGAAGAAGGAGGTAAGGGGGCCGGGCGTGGTGGCTCAAGCCTGTAATCCCAGCACTTTGGGAGGCCGAGGCGGGTGGATCACGAGGTCAAGAGATCGAGACCATCCTGGTCAACATGGTGAAACCCCGTCTCTACTAAAAATACAAAAAATTAGCTGGGCATGGTGGCGCGTGCCTGTAATCCCAGCTACTCAGGAGGCTGAGGCAGGAGAATTGCCTGAACCCAGGAGGCGGAGGTTGCGGTGAGCCGAGATCGCACCATTGCACTCCAGCCTGGGTAACAAGAGCGAAACTCCGTCTCAAAAAAAAAAGAAGGAGGTAAGGGTCATATTATTCAGGGTACTATGGCCCTGAGGTCTTCCAACACTTTTTGACAAGGCCCATAATGAGAAAAGTTTCATGACATAATTCTTATGCTTACAGCTGGCATTGCAGTTTCACATTTCTGTTCTACTTTGACTTTTTTTTTTTAAGTGCTGGTGGTGACCATAGCACTTGTTTCTATGATCCATTCATGGCTCATGATCTGCAGTTTGGAGAAAATATGATAAATCATGTTGAGGATTTTGATCTTTTAATGGTGGTGACTCAATCCTTTCTGCTGTCAGGGAAGAGTGCTAGATTGAAGTGGCCCAGAATAAATGGGCGTGGTGGCTCAGGCCTGTAATCTCAGCACTTTGGGAGGGTGAGGTGGGCAGATCACCTGAGGTGAGGAATTTGAGACCAGTCTGGTGTACATGGTGAAAACCATCTTTAGTGAAAACACAAAATTAGCTGGGTATGGTGGCTGGTGGCTGTAATCCCAGCTACTCGGGAGGCTGAGGCAGGAGAATCCCTTGAACCTGGAAGGTTGCAGTGAGCTGAAATAGTGCCACAGCACTACAGCCAGGGCAATAGAGCCAGATTCTGTGACAGAAAGAGAGAGAAGGAGGGAGGGAGGAAAAAAGGAAAACACCCTACAATTGCCACAATCCAGATGAGACATGGTAGCTTGGACTAGGATGGTGGCAGCAGAGACAGGGTCAGGGCAGCTACCCAGGGCCAGGGCCTGCACTCATCTTATGATGTCACCTGTTTCCCCAGTGTGCCACTTCAGGGACTGAGGACCAGAGGCTATTGATGCTTGCCTAATATGGCACAGCCAGTGAGTCCTGAGCCAGATTTGAAACAGGTCTTTCTGATTCCCAAGTCTAGCCTTTTCTTTTAACTCACAGCACATCTCTAAGGTGAGCCCATAAAGAAGGAAGCTAATTTTCAAGGGAGTACACACTAATACTTAAGAACCAGTTTCTTACAGGTTTTAATGCCTGAAAATGTTGACTATGTTTGGTCCCAGAAATGAAACCTAAGTTCATATCTGTTTTTTTTTAAAAAGGGGGACACATGTAGTGTGATGTCACAGAAGAGGCTAGGCTTGAAGTCCCCTTTGATCTGGATGATGACCCTGATCATCTGGTACTAGTATCTCAGTCATCTCATCCCTGTAGGCTTCAATCAAGTCCTCCCACAGGGACAATGCTGCTCCTGGGATGCTGGGAGGATTATAGGTTTTATAGGATTTTTAAAATATTTACATTATTTTATAAAGTTGAGTATAGGGCTCCCCAATGTTGACTTATGATGTCAACCATAATGATATATAAACACTGTTGAACAACTAGAAATCAATCCCTCTGTTCTCTGAGTTCTTTAAACATGTATCTGTTATGGTAGTTATCATGGTAGAGTGTTAATCTCTGTGTCTGTCTTCTTTATTAAATCATTACTCCTAGGGACAAAGGTTGTTGGTGGATTCCAGGGACTACCACGAAGTCTAGAGTGATTAGATGCCAAATATGATTATGTTGTAGTTTAACAAATGCAGAAAGCATAATATAATACATCATTGGCCTTTATGACTAAAGCATTTACAATATTTTAATTCACTTTCTCAAAATTTCTTGATCCCCGCCCTCCACCTTTGATAAGCATAAATATATCTGCCACCCAGTCCCTGTGGCAGATTCCAGTTTTTCCCCAGCCCTCTGCCAGTGATGGACAGACATATACACTAAACATTTGTACATCCCACAGCCAGCATGGTTTGTTTACTTTATTTTTTTTATCGTACAAGATAAAATTTTCACGTGCTTGCCTTCCACAGATAAAATATTACCTTTGCAAATTACAAATGTTCTCACCCCAAGATTCTGGAACAAACTACAAGGTAGGACTATCTTGATCTAATTAACACATTTGCTAACTGCTGATTCTAAAGGAAAATTGTCTTTAGCAGCATCTGTATGTGCAAAACATGTATGTGCATCAATCATTCACTGCTGTCTCTACATTTGGTCACCTCTCAGCCCTTTCTTCTCCACTGACTCTCTTCTTACAGGGAAGGAGGTTTCAAAGCAGATCCTCTTAGGTCTGTGCACTCAGACTCAGCCAATGCTAATATCATTCCATGGCATTCAGCAAAGGCTTGAGGATAAAAAGTAATGGCTGATGTGGAATAAAACATTTGACATGCACCTCTGTGGTTTGATGGGTTCTGTCCAAAGTTGTTTAAAAACATGAGCCCAACTAGATGCTTCTTTCCCCTACCAGAATGCTCTGATGCTCTGATGCTAATTGCATCCCTACCATCACACCTTTGACCAGCCATTCTCATCTCATGCCCAGTTTTTATGCCTTATAATCCACTCTCCAGCTGGGATGACTTCCTAACAGAAATCTGATGATGTTACCCTACCCATAGAGCACCTAATCACTCTCCATTTGCCTTGGGATGCAGCTTGACATCCTAGCTGACTTCCATGACCCCAGAGACCTGGCCTTTCCCTCTTAGGCCTCATCTCTCTCCACTCCCACCTTACCCACAGAGTCAGCTTCTTGCATTTCCATGAATGCGCAATGCTCTCTCTTTTGTTTTGTTTTTGAGACAGGGCCTCACTCTGTCACCTAGGCTGGAGTGCAATGGTGCAATCACAGCTCACTGTAGTGTCAACCTCATGGGCTCAATCGATTCTCCCACCTCACCCTCCCTAGTAGCTGCAGCTACAAGTGTGCACCACCACACTGGTTAATTTTGGTATTTTTTTTGTAAAGACAGGGTTTTGCTATATTGTCCAGGCTGGTCTGGAGTCCTAGGCTCAAGCAATCCACCTGCCTTGGCCTTCCAAAGTGCTGACATTACAGATGTGAGTCACTGAACTCAGCCTGATGCTGTCTCTAGTCTTTGAAACTTTGCATCATAAACTACATCCCTTGTCCTGGAATTCTCACCACCCATTCCCATCCCTTTACTCATTTCATCTAACTTTTTTTTCCCTAACAATCTAGCTAAGTGATGACTTCCTCAATCACTCACCTTCCTGACAAGCATGTCCTCCACTTCACTCCTTCCTCCCCTCTATGAGGTTAAGAGCCCCTTCTAATTATGCCTATTAAGCCCAGTATTTTCCCTGTTTCATAACTGCTACCTTTCCCCTTAGTCACAAACATACTGCCTACTATAGAGTAAGCATCTAACACAGTGAGTGAGTAGATGAATGAAAGAAAAAACCTTCTTTATGAAACTTCATTTGGGTTCTCATTTCTCTAATTCATTCATTCATCCTCAGAATGTTTTTGGAACATCTACCATGAGCCAGCAATGGCACAAGATGCTGGGTATTTAGGGGAAGCAAAGCTTAGCCTAGTTCTTGCAATCCTGGCACTCACGCCAGCACCTCTTAGTGCCCCGTGGGCATCCACAAAAGAAAACACAAGCTAACTAATTCTTTGCAAGTGGCTTTTCCTTATACTAGGGCAGAGCAAAGCAGAGGTAGCTTCATATAGCCAGTGAGTTCTGTAACATTGATCTCATGTTAGACCCATCTTCGTTCCAGTGCAAGACTGACACAGACCTTTGCATCACAGAACTTGAAGTATAATAGGAAAGACAGAAAAACAAGCAATGACAATACAGCATGAAAATGCTCTGATAAGGGAAGTACTGGGTGTTACATTATAGCGAAGGATAACGTAGGTTAATCTGGGGAGGAGAAGCTCTGGAAAGACAATGGAAATGGTGGAAAATCATACTTAATTATGAGACATGTTGAAACATGGCTCACAAACTAGATTAACAATTTCTAGACCCCTAAAGCTACTACTTCGGCTCTCCTCTCTGTCTATCTGGCATAAATAAGGAATTGGCAAATGATGAGGAAGCTAATCCAGTTTGGATTACCAGGAGAGGTGAGGAAGCTGAGGAGTAGTTCCTATTGGGGTTAGAATGTTTGATTTATTTTTCTAAAAATGACCAATCAAAGACAGCCTGCCTAGGTGAACCCATGAGTGTGTGGCAGACAGTGTTTTACTGGGTCAAGAGAGTTGCTGATGCATAAGCAGCAGGAGGGTGAGTCATGTTTACCTGAAATGTGGGCAGAGCTGCCTTCCTTCTAGTAAAACTAAATTTGGATGATGTTTAAAAATAATAGCAGTTGTTGTTTAATGGGAGATTGAAATTTGCAAGATAGAAAAGTTCTTGAGATCTTTTTCACAACAATGTGAATATACTTAACACTTAAAAATGGTTAGGATGATTAGTTTTATGTTTTGTGTCTTTTAACACATTAAATAGAAAAAAGTAATATCAGACTTCACGTCAATATGGATGTGAGAAATCCATATAGAAGAGAAACTTGTTCCTTTATTCAGCAAATACAGAGTGGACCCCACAGGACAGGCTCAGTGCAGATTGCTGGGGCCACAGAAGGTATAAAATATGATCTCAGCCATTCTGCAACCAGCAATCTCAGCTTACTATCAGGCCATCTCTATTTTCAACACAGAACTTTACACATTTATTTCAGAAATACATCTGCCAACGTAGCCGTTTCATTGTAATTACTTATGGTTTAACACAATTGCTGTTTATTTTTATCGGTAGAAAAAAATTAAGGAAAATATTTTGTCCTATCTCTAAGTCTTTATGTGTCTGTCTTAGTCTACATGTAACAGCATCAGGGAATTATAAAAGACTTCCAAACAAAAAGCAGACAAATGGAAGAGCCACAAGTCTTGGCATCAGAAGGCTTTGGTTTACATTTAAGCTCTACCACTTACAAGTTATTTGAGCTCTCTGAGCCTCAAATTCCTCATCTGTAAAATGGGAATCATACATATTTCATATTATTGACATGAGAATTCAATGAGATAACCAATAGGAAGCACCTAACCTATAGCAAAACTCGATAAATGCTAGTCCTTTCTTTCATCTCTATAAGTAGGTGGAAAGAATTTCACTTAGGGGAAAAATAGAATGATGAAAATCTGGAACTTAAAAGACAAGTATTTTAGGGCTCTGGTTTATAATTTCAGAAGAAGTAAATTCAGTTTGTAAACTGGTTAGCTTCAGGATTCAACCAAAAACGATTCAATTCCCAATCAAGACAGGACTTTTAAAGCACAGAAACTTTTCCAGTACAACCCTCTAAGACCAAAATACCCTTTGATTGAAGTCTCAGGCAGTTTTCCAGTGCACTAGCAGAGGGATCATGGTGTACAGAGGAACACTCCTTAAGAAAATGGCTATGTGTAGGAGGCGACAGAGAGAGATATACACATTCTCTTTCATGGTATGCAATGTTAACTTCTATAAAGTTTGGGCAACTAAATAAAATTAGAATCAAAAAGCACATTGGTAGATATTAAGAAACATCTCATAGAAGTGAGATGAGAGTATTCTGAAGACAAAGCAGGAGGGGAACAGAAAATCCCAGTGGTTCATGCTTAGACCCAGGGGGTTCTTGTTTTGTTAACCATGGAGGTTTACAATTTGTCTAAAAAGGCTTTACTGAGAAAAATGAAAAGGAACAGAAGGAACCATGACATTGGCCATGTCCATTGACAAATCTATTGAATTCTTAGGCTTGCTACCTGGTTCCCCTGGGTCCAAATTTTGGCCACCAGGGTGACTAGATGACTTGTCATTTTCACCATAGACCTGAATATTATTGCTTGTGTCCCCTTGAAGATGCCTCTTCTTGGTGCTTCCTTCTACCTCCTACCAAGAGCTCTGCCTACATTTCCAATGGCATCTAGATGGTAAACTCAGTTTCTGTGTCTTTTGCAGGCCTGTCCACCTCACCTTGCCCAAAGCAGAATGAACACTTGTCCCTTGCAGCAAGTTTTGCTATTAAAGTCACTGGGCATTTGAGGCCTTTGTCTTTGGATTATTAATCTGCTCTCCATGTACCCAGGACCCAACAATGAGGGCATCTGTTGCAAATCTAATATTAGCAACAAACTCAAGTCACATCATCTTGTATAAAGAGAACACTGAGGGAGAAACATTTGATCACTAGCAGAGACATGGCAGCATTGAACAAGGAGCTCTGTCAAATGCTTGGCTGTCTATTATTCAGGGGAGGGAGGAGAGGAGGGGAGGGAGAAATCTGAGGAGTGTAAGCTTTTTTTTTCTTCCCATCTGTTCAGCTGTCCCAGGGCAATTTGACATACTCTGCACAACTCCTACAATGTTTGACCCCAGGTCAGACATAGAGATCCACTGTGACCCTAGGACACACAGAGGACTTGGATGGTGCTATTAGAAACAGCCACTCAAGGGCTTGGGCATAGGAGGGCATGCCTTTGGCAGAGGATCTGCCCCACTAACAACCCAGAACAAATCACCTGAATTAAAAACCTCTGGGCACATGACTCAGAAGCCCCCAGGTGTTTTACCTTTTCTGCCAGTACCAGAAGTAGAGTGAGATTGTTTAAGTTAGTCTCCATGGCTTGGGGCAACTTCCCAACCCAAATGGGTCATTTAGAATGTTATAGAGGTCAGTGGGCCAACAGGTCAATTTGGCCAGTAGGGCTTCTAAGTTTTTTTAATTAGCTGCTGACATTGAAAAACCTGAAGATTTTAAAATAAAATTCCAAGTTCCAAGTTTCCCTTGAAAATTAAAAAAATGAGAGCCACATGGTCCTCATCCTCACCTAACAGTCACCCCCACTTCCCAAGCCCTTGGCCTTGTCGTGAGGCACAAGCCGTGGTCCTGACAGCAACACTCACTTAGATAACTTTCCAGAGTCTCGTGGGATTTTGGATTTTCCACCAGGGGTCAAGAGTCTCACATGAGAGGTTGAGAGGAGATATCTGGTTGAGTTTTCTCCAACCACGCAAATTCTGGGTACTGTGAACAGTGGACAAAAACAGAAAAGCAAGGAGAAGGACCTCATTTCAAGGAAAAACAAGCTTCCACCACAGAAAATCCAGGCCCCATTGGCACAGTGATTTGAGGGAGAGAGACATGGCCAGCCAGGACAGCTTGGATGCTGTGAACTGCATCACAGAGAAACAGAAACACTGGCCAGCAAGCCTTGTCACGTGACCTCTTAGCTGGAATGAAGACTGGGGAAGGGTGGGGGGGAAGAGAGAAGAATGTGCCCTCTTCTTGTCCCTTTGTGCTTCCACTTCCTTTAGGGCCTGAAAAGAAGGAAAACAAAGCAGGACTCTCACTGGCAGTTGCTGAAGAAACTAGACTCCCATCTACGCCTGCAGCCAAACTGCCCGTGGACCAAATGTTAGATGGGTGGTTCTCAACCTTAACTGCACATTCGTGTCACTCAGGGAGCTTTTAAACCATTTTACTCTACCAATTACAACAATTTCTGGGGGGCAAGGAGATGGGGGCCCAGGCATCAGTATGTTTCAAATCTGATTCTAATGGGAAGCCAAGGCTGAGAACCAATGTCCCAGGGTAATGCCTCTCAACCATAAACTTGCCCTTGACTTACCTGGGAGGATTAGTTAAAAATGCAGATCTGAGTCATAGGTCAGGGCTGCAGGCTCAGCTTCTGCACTTCTCACAAGCTTGCAAGTGATGCCCGTGCTGCTGGATCCCAGCCCACACTTTGGTGAGAAGGAGCTGGAGCACTTGTGCTTTGTCATTCCCTCTTCAAACACTTCCAAAGAGAAATAGCAGGTCTATCACCTCTAAGCCTCAAAGTAACAATAGCCATAGCAATAAAAGTAATGATATTACTATTAAAATAATAAAATAACAATAAAAAAACTCAATAATAGCAAGACTTTGATGTTTTTCTTCCTGCCAAACACTGTGCTAAAGCTATACTTTAAAAAAAAATTCAACAAGAAGATGTGAAATAATTGCTCCTTCTTACCTTGAGTTCTTAACTACTCCAAGTGTTTTACTTATATTAGCTTTTTAGTCTTCACAACAACCCTTATTGTCCTGAGTGCTGTTGATAATCATTCCATTTTAGTGAAGACAGAGCTGAAATGCACAGAGATGAAGCTGCTTGCCAAGGCCACCCAGTTTACAAGGGTAGAGCTGGGTTTAGACACAGGGCGTGTACTGCTAATAACCTGTGTACTCTGTCTCTCCAGGGAGCTGAGGCCTTGGAGTTGTGAGTCATTTGCCTATAGTCAATAGTGGAGCTAATTAATAGTGGAGCTAGGGTTCAAAACTCCATTGGCTTTGCTTTACAGACTGAGCTACTGGGAGTAGAAATGAATGAGGTATAGAAAGTGCTAGACACAGTTCTTGGCACATCAGGAATACTCATAATTGCTTTCCCTATTCCTTTTTTACCACTCCCCTAGAGCATTCCTTGGGGGCTTTCTTAGTTAGCTCAGGCCTCAATAACAAATTCCCTTAGACTAGATGGCTTAAATAACAAACATTCCTTTCTCACAATGCAAAAGCTGGGAAGTCTGAGATGAAGGTGTCAGCATGGTCAGGTTTTTGATGAAGGCCTCCTTCCTGGTTTACAGACAGTCACCTTTTTGCTATGTCCTCACATGGCAGAGAACGAAATCTCTCTTGTGTCTCTCCTTTTCAGGGCATTATCTCATTTATAAAGGCTTCGCCCTCATGATCTAAAAACCTCCCAAAATCCCACCTACAAATACCATCACTTGGGGATTAGGGTTTCAACATATGAACTTGGTGGGACACGTTCGGTCCATATCAGGAGGCTGAGACGTGGGAAGAGAGAATAGAACATAGCAAATGGCATTTAAATGACCCTGGCTCCCTAAAGGAGCATGTCAATGACATAGGCAGAGGAAGGGAGAGGGTTGACAGTAGGTCACACCCATTTCCTAGAGTGAGGCAGCCAATGGGATGATCAAAGCCAGCCCCCACGCCTCTGCAGGCTCATCCTGTGCCTGGCAGAACTGGCAGGAAAGAAATATAGGAACCTAAGGCAGCCGTTGCCCCCACGAAAGGTGATCTGTGTCCATTTGCCAAGCATGATTGGGAGAAAGTGATCAAAGGGGCTGCTGTGAGACCAAGAATGGACTGAGGCAGCTCTGAGAGCCCATGTAGCTTTGGCACTGAACTTGAGGCTGACTGCTCCCAACAGAACACACATTTCTCCAGGGGTTCTAAAACTGCAGCATAGAGAAGAGCCTGGATATTGCTACAGCTTCTTAGAAGAAATTATGATATGGTGAAAGTGCCTAACTTCTTGTCTGTGTCTCCATCCAAGCTGACTATAATCTCTGTCTTACATTCTATCTTCAGCATTTAGTATAGTGCCTAGCATGGAAAGAGTGCTTAATTAACAATATTTATTGAATGAATGAATGGATGGATGGATGGATGGATGGATGGATGGATGGATGGATGGATGAATGAATGAAAGAAAATATTTTATTGAAATATGATAAAGAATTTATTCTCTGTCTCTTCAAGTTATTTCAACCCCCTGCTTAGTACTGGCTATCGTATTTTAAAAGATAATTAATGTGAAAGCAATAATGATTTAATAGAGAACTATTTATTTTACCTGTTTCTTATTATGCTAGCCCTTTTTTTACTTTTATTGCTGTTTCAGATCATTTATTCATTTAAACAACAATACTCATTGACTTTTCATTGCACAGAAAAAAAGGAACGAAAACAGCCAATTGTATTAATCTGATCTAATCAACAATATGAAACTATATGTAAAATAAAGTACTTAACGATTTTAGATGGCCATGTGTAAGTACAGTCAAGATGACATCATCATGAAAGGCAAGGTTAGGCCACTTGGTTCCTAAGGAGTTTCTCAGGTGGGAGAAACTTATTCAGTAGACACTTGATATTCATAAGGAACGGATTCTGAGGTCTTTGCAAATTCTGAATCCTAGTGCTTTTCTAAATAATATCTTTATCTGGAGCCAGGGCTTTCCCGTGCATAGCCTTAATACTCCAGGTCTACTGACTATTCAACTTTCATACCTGATCTCCCACCTAGTAGCTGTTTTTCCTGGAAATTCCTACTGCAGGCTCTGATCTGAACTTTCTCACAAGCTGCTGAAATGACTGTTGTTAACTTAGTGAATGTCAGGGAACTGCTGTGACTGCTGGAGTCCAATCCAATTTGACACTAGTATGAAGTGGCTAGTAGGAGTCAGGTACATGCCATGGTAGCTGACACAGCAGGGAACCAAATAATATAATTCCTGCTCTCATGGGATTTGCATCTGGTAGGAAAGACAGAGCCATTCAGAGGGTTGGTTGTATATTGTGAGTGCTTTCAAAGGCTCTGTGGTCCTCAAGTTCCGCTACCTCTTGCTTACCTGAAACATCAACCACTCCAACTACTCAGGGGTTTCTGGAGGAGTATGCACTAAGTGAGTTAAGACATTTATGCTTGCCTGCATTCAGATTCCTGCCTGGGCTCTTACTCCCTCACTCCTACACACCAGCCTCTGCTAATCTATGAGCACATGTTCCTATCTCAGGGCATTTGCACTTGTCCCTCTGCCCACAATGATGCCCCATTCCCATGGGCACAGGCTCAGTCAAGGACCACATCCCCCAGAAGTTTTTCTAGCCATCCTATCAGATAAAGCAGCCTCTGTTACTCTCTAAACCCTTACTCTGCTTTATTTTTCCTCATAGCCCTTACAATTATTTGACATGTTATTATATATCACTCTTGATAATGAGAATAGATGTTCTAAGAGAGTTGAAACGTCTTTGTCTTTTTCACTGTTGTGTTCCCAATTCCAAGAACAGGGACTGGAAGAGTAGGTTCTCAGTAAACATTTATTGAATGAGTAAATTAATAAATGTGTCCTGAAATATGTAGACAGACACAATGTGAATCTTTTAAGAAGAGGCTCTGAGGGATGAGACAAAAAAAATAAAAGATTTTGACTGGGTGCTCACACCTGTAATCCTGGCACTTTGGGAAGCTGAGGCAGGTGGATTACGAGGTCAGGAGTTTGAGACCAGCCTGACCAACATGGTGAAACCCTGTCTCTACTAAAAATACAAAAATTAGCCATGCATGGTGGCACGCACCTGTAATCCCAGCTACTGCCCAGGAAGATGAGGCAGGAGACTCACTTGAACCCAGAAGGTGGAGGTTGTAGTGAGCCAAGACCATGCCATTGCACTCCAGCCTGGGCAACAGAGCGAGACGCTGACTATAACTAACTAACGAACTAACTAACTAAATAAATAAATTAAATATTTTGATGAGAACAGAAAAAGATGCTCTCAGAGATCTACAGGCCTGCATGTGGTACTTTTTTGGGTGGAGGACCCTGAACTATTAGGACACATAGAAAATGGATCCCAGAATACCAGTAGTATAAATATTATGTTTTTGTAGGGTGGCTCCTCTGACAATGACACCCTTTCCCTACAGTGCTCAGGTCTGCCCCTCCTTTGTCTATCTGAAACTGCTTATCTCCATAACATCCAGCACTTGCTGTGGATTAGTGAGCAGGGTCTCCAGGTATTACCCTGATGGTTGCTGCAGATCAGTGGCAACAAGGAGCAGCAAGAGAATGTTAGAAATTTCAGATTGAGAAGCTGGTGAGCAGAGTGGGATCCACAAGATACTAGGAGTGAGGGGCTGTTCCTTAGTCTGGTTCTGTTCAGCTCAGATAGGTTTCCTTCACTTATCTCTGCAGCCAATTCCTAGCAACTGTTTGTGGTTTTCTACTTAAAGCAATGATAGGTAACTAAAACACTGAAACAACAACAACAACAACAAAAAACTTCTAATTTCTATACGGTTACAACTCAGTGAAATAAATGTCAGGGTAAAGTTATTTCTAAATATCTAGACAGGACTGCTTAAACATACACAAAATAGTTAATGTAATGGTTAATCTTTATGAATAACTTAGTGTGGCCAAGTAGTCAGCCAAAACCTACAACTGAAATTTTAAAATAAATCTTAAGAGTCAAGACCTGAACACCAACCTCTGCAAGTGTGCATTCAAGTATAGTTTCTAATGCACGTCTTACAAATGTGGGCTTATATGTTATAGTAATAATAGCCAACATTTATTTAGCACAAATTGTGTTTGCTTTGATCTGAACTTGTTGTGTGCCAACTCTAACACAGGTGCAAATGGCTAAGAGCTCCCTTTGTCCAAATAAGGAAGTGGAGAGCCAGAGGAAAGAGATGATTTACTGAAAGATTACTCAATATGCTAGTGTAGGAGTTCTGAAAAAAGGTTGGGTCTTCTGGCTCCTGACTGTTTTTGAAATCTTGGCCTTGCCCTGGCAACACTGCAACAAGGCCAAATACGACAAGGAGAGGAATTTGCAAATAAGCATATGTGACCTTTTGTACAAATATGCGAGTAGATCATGAGAAAAAAGAAGTTTCCTGTTAGTGAAAGTAATAGGTAGAAAACAGTTTGGCAGTTTCTTACAAAACTAAACATACTCTCACCATGTAATTCCACAAACGAGCTCCTTGGTATTTACCCAAATGAGCTGAATATTTTCCCCCACACAAAAGCCTGCACATAAATCTTTACCTCATTTTTACTGATAATTGTAAAACTTGGAAGCAACCAAGATGTCCTTCAATATATGAATGAATAAATAAACTGATACATTCAGACAATGGAATATTATTTGGCAATTTAGAAAAAGGAGCTTTCAAGCCACAAGACATGGAGGAAATTTAAATGTATATTACTAAGTGAAGAAAAGCCAATCTGAAAAGGCTACATGCTCCATGATTCCAACTATATGACACTGTAGAAAAGGCAAAACTATGGAGGCAGTAAAAAGAGTAGTGGTTGCCAGGGGTTAAGGAGGGATGAATGGGTGGAGCACAGAGGATGTTTTAGGGCAGTGAAACTACTCTGAATGATACTATAAAGGTGGATACTTATCATTACAAGTCATTTGTCCAGACTCAAAGAACATACAACACCAAGGTAGATCCTAATGTAAACTACAAGTTTTGGGTGATAATGGTGTATTCAATTGGTTCATCAGTTCTAACAAATTCACCACTCTGGTGGGGGATGTTGATGAGGGAGGCTATGTATGTGTGGGGACAGTATAGAGTTCTATAGAAGAACTCTAACTTCTGCTCAGTTTTGCCATAAACTATTCTAAAAAATAAAATATGTTAATTAAAAAAAGTAACGGGTAGGAGGCTGTGGGAGTGGTGATGAGGACAATGGTAGAACTGAGCATCACATAAATAAAGGATGTGAGAGCAGGTCCTGGCCTTTGGGTTTATCCTAGAGGTAGGGAGAATGCCTAGATGCACAGAATTCTTGTTCCAATCCACCGAGCACCTCCTACGTGCCCATCACATTTACATTGCACAATATCTTCACAGAAATCCTGCACTTTAATTTTGGCTCAGAGATAACCAATTATTTGTTGCTGAAAGTCACATGACCACAAAGTAGCAAGGCCAGGTTCGAATGCTGTTCAGCTGGCTCTACATCCAGTTTTCCTCTGCAAATAACTGCTGGAAAGGTAAAAGCAGTGACTAAGGAACAGGTTTGCTTTACTAAACACATCATGCTTCAGAATCAACTTTGTATGCATGACACACAGCAGGCCAATGGATGGATTATATTTGAGGCTAGAGGGAAAACATAAAACCACCTCAACACCATCATCATTTATTTATTTCACCATTAAAAGAAAAATGAGGGGCTGTGAGGGAGGTGACAGGTGACAGAAGGAGTAATTAACAGAGAATCATTACTACTACCTGAGATACTGCCTTCCTAGAATTTCTCATACCAAGGATACAAGGTCATTTGTGATGGACAAACAGAGGCAGACATTCCTGGGAGTCACCCTCTCTTTGAAAGCAAGGAAGAAAACCCTCTGTGCTCTGGAGCCATGCCAGGGAAGCTTGCTGCACAGCCAGGTGCCAATATATGGAGTGGCTTGGGCCCAGGGAAATCTAGCTTGGTTCATCACAGTCACCATTTTGGCACAGGGTTCTTGACCCCCCATTTACTGATGGGGGCCCTGAAGTGGCAGGAAGATGCAAAAATGCAAAGGAACGGAGAGGAAAGCAGTGGGAGACTCAGAGTAGAAAGCCACATGCTTTCAGGACTAGGCCTTTAGCTTCATCTCAACACTTCTGTTTTATGGCAGCCAATCTGAGAATCTAGTTCATCAGCATGAACTCCTTTCATAGGGCTGTCCACTACGGTTACTTAAACCTTTTTAACTTTTCATCTTAGATGTTGCAAAAGATTTCTGTAACTCCAGTTACAACAGAGTTTTCTCTACCCTTTGAACACTATCTAAGGGACTGATTGTCTTCTTTGGCCAGTGGCAAGACTCCAACCCCCAGAGACATTGTCTAACCCATTAACCTGAGGCCCATCTTACATCAGGAGGCCTAATAGGAGGTGGGTGGAGATTCTCCCACACGGTGCCCTACCAGTGGACATTTCCCCCGACATCCAGAACCTCACTCCATAGTTCTGGTTGTGCTGTGAAAAGAGAAATCCCTTTCTGAATGTCCTTTCCAGCACCCAGTGAGGAATAGCACAGAGCCTTTGTTGTAACTAAGTTCCCTAGACCCCTCTAGACCCAACCAGGCTTCCTCAAGTCTCCTTTCTTCTCTGTAGTACATGGCTGGGACTCAGTCCATCTTCTTCACCTCTTTCTAGGTTCACCTACCCTATTCTTCAATTTCCATCCTGGTGACAGAGGGAGTTAAAATCTCCCTCCCTGCCCACTTCCTTGCTACTCCAAAGAGAGAACAAAGGCTTCACTCCTTATTGCTGCAGGGAAGCAGAAGTCAGTACACACACATACTCACATGCTTACACAGACACATACACAGTTTTAGTACCTTACAAAGCTCTTGTCTGAATGTCATTAGACTAATTTTCCACTCCCGTCTCAGATGGTGATTATAGATCCTTGTTATGGTTTGAATATTTTCCCCTACAAAACTCACATTGAAATGTAATTTTCAAGGTGACAGTATTGAGAGGTGAGGCCTTTAGGAAGTGATTGATTACTAACAGCTCTGCCCTCATGAATGGATTAGTCTATTGGTAGATTAACGAATGAATGGGTTGGTGGGTTAGTGAGCTATTATGAGAGTGGGTTGGTGGCTGTGTAAGAAGAAAAAAAAAGACTAGCTAGTGCACTCAGCCCCCTCATCATGTGATTCCCTGCACAGACTCTGCACAGAGTCCCCACCAGCAAGAAGACCCTCACAAGATGCAGTCCCTTAACCTCCTACTTCTCAGTCTGCATAAGTGTAAGAAATACATTCCTTTTCTTTATAAATTACCCAGTTTCAGGTGTTCTGGAATAAGTGACAGAAAATGACTAAGAGAGTAGACTTAGAAGATGGGCTAAGACAACTCTTTGGACTTGCCCCTCTATTTTTATTCTAAGGTTGCTCACCTAAACTCTTCCTTATTCTGACCCAGACTTTTGTAAAGACCATGCAGAACCTATATTCCCAGGTGGTCTCTAAATAGGCAATCAAGAGAAACTAATAATTACTATTAATTGAGCCTTCAGTATGTAGTAGGCACTGTTAGAACATGATTGGCATGGATTAGCTTACATGGTCCTTTCAGCAATCTGTGAAGTGGGCATATTATTCCCATTTTGGAGATGAGTAATCCGAGGCTCATAGAGAGTAAATTAATTTGCTTAAGTTTCCATAACTTGCAGTGAGTGGCAGAGCTAGGATTTGAACCTACACCTGCTTGATGCCAAACCTAATCCTTTTCACCACAACACTCTGCTCCTGGAGATACAAAACAGTTTAAATCTGGGTGGACCTATTTATTTGGTAATGCTTATTTCCCTGCATTAATACACAGAAAAAAGCAAAAACCTCAAAAGGACAAAAAAATACCTTAACCATCTAACATCAAGTTTATTTATGACTCTGAGCTACTAACTAGTCAGCTGGGATCTTTATCAACTCATCATCACATAGAATACTGGTTTATTTTATTGATAATATTATTCTGATAGAACAAGGAGAACAGAAAGTAGCAAATTCTAGGTGACTTGGTAAAACATATCTACCAGAAGATGAAAGAGAAATATGATTGGAATGCAAGTTCTTGCTAACTCAATGAAGTTCTTTTAAGCCTAGCAGTGTAGGCTACATTAGGCTATCACCTTCAAACTGAAGGATAAACCGAGGAACCCTAAACCTTCAAATACTAAGATGGAGACAGAGAGCTTCATGGATCTCTTGGGAATTTGGCGGTAACACATACCATTTACCAGGTGAACCAAAGGCTGCCTGTTCTGCATGGGGCCCAAAGAGAGAAAAACACTTTCTACCAAACTAAGACTGTAGGAAAAGCAACTTTGCCACATTTTTCTTAAAACCCAGCAGCCCCAATTATGCCCAAAGCTTCTGACAGATCAGGTTGCTCTTGACTGCACAGTGGAATCACTTGATTCCATTGCACTTATAAACTTTATTTGTTTGTGTTTTAGAAATAGGGTCTTGTTCTCTTCCTCAGGCTGAAGTGCAGTGGCACAATCATAGCTCACTACAGCCTCAAACTCCTGGACTCCAGGGATCCTCCCACCTCAGCCTCTTGAGTAGCTAGGAATACAGGCATGCACTACCACGCCCACCTTGGGAACTTAAAAATAGCGTTGATGTCTACGTTCTACTTCCAGAGATACTGATTTAATTGCTTGAGAACCAGCAACCTACGGAGAACAGTGGTTTTCAAACTTTAGTGCACATTAGAATCACCTAGTGGGCTTATTAAAACACATTGCTGGGTCTTATCCTAGAGTTTCTAATTCTGTATGTCTGGGAAGTGAAGCCCTAGAATTGGCCTCACCAATTCTGGAATCTTCTAACACATTCCCAGGTGATACCGATTCTCTTGCAAGGAGCTAACACTTTGAGAAACACTGATGTTTCATGTCAAGCTGCCACAGGAGAATCACAATGGAGATTTCTACATCCTTGCTACATCCTTGAATGGTCCATGACCTGCAGCACTGACAATAACAGGGATTTTATTAAACATGCAGAATCTCAGGCCCCAGATCAAACTTACTGAATTGAAATCTGCATTTTAACATGATCCCCACAGGATTCAAATGTACATTTAGTTTGAAAACCACTGTTCTGGGTCTTTGAAGAAAATCCATGCTGTATTTCATAGATGATTCTCCTCTTGAGAAAATGACAATTCTTCATTGGAACCTCTTCACTTGCTCTTGGCCCTGGCAGAGACCAAAAACATGACCATAGGTGAGCATATGACCTGAGCCTCCCATCATGAGCTGGGTGATGACTGAACCGACAAACCACACAGTGAGTCACACCTGCCAGCTCTCTACCACCAAGCAGAAATAAGACTGAAATGACCAAGACAGAACACCTTCTGAAGACAAAGTAAATCACATAAACAGGTTACTTACACTCCCCAGAAGGCCTGCTCTTGCCACACTGCTATCCTCCTCCAATCTTCACATGTAGCCTTGCAGGGAGTTCTCTGGTAAGCAATTGATTGAAGAAGAAAAATTATCAAGCTCAGTTACAAATGGCTGTGCATTAGAGTGTGATCCACTCTGGTGGCGTTATAGCTTATACAGTATGCCCCTGAACAATTTTGGTGAAGGGTTATATAAAATTATATAATATATATTATAGAGAGATTATATATCTTTAATATATATATATTCTACATATATCTACATCTTGATTTATATATGTGTGTACATGTATATATACGCACATGTACATGTATGTATATAGCTCAATAAAAATAAATAGTGAATCCAGAAGTAAACTTACCCAGTATGGATACTAGTATATGGTAGAGGTGGCTCATTGGATAGCAAAGGGAGTTTTCAATAAATAGTGCAGAGAAAACTGATATCCACATAGGAAAACAATTATGTTAGATTTCTACCTCACCACAAGCACAAAAATCAATTCCAGTTGTACCTTTACTACCTGAGATTAGAGAACAATACACGTAAAATACTAACCACAAAATGTTTGAAGAATTCAGCTACATTAAAGTAAAATAATTCATTAAAACACATCATAAAGTGAGTTAAAAAACAAGCCACAGAATGGGAAAATATATTTATAGGACATAAAGACAAATAAGATCCAGGTACATAGAAAATACCTTTAAATTGTTAAGAAAAGACAAATAACCCAATAGGAAGACAGACAAATTTTTGAAAAGACACTTCACAAAGAAGGATCTCCAAGTGGCTAAAACACTCAAAAAAGGTACAACTTCTTTGGTAATCAGGGTAAAGAAAATTAAAACCAAATGAAATACCACTATATGCCTATCGGATTTGCAAATATTAAAAGGTTTGACATTAACCAGTGTTAATGAAGATGTAGAGCAACTGGAATTCTCAGTTGATGATAATAGTATATATTGGTAGAACTACTTTGGAAAATAGCTGAAAATTATCTAACAAAATTGAATATGTACTTGACCTATATAACCCAGCAAATGCACTTTTGGGGTTGATACCTGAAATGTATATACACATGTACATCAGGGTATATGCATAAAAATATTCATTGCTTCCTTATTCAAAATAACTAAAATGGGAAACAATCCAGATGTCCATCAATAGAACAGTAAAAACTGAGTTATGATTTATTCATTAGTACAACACTACACAGAATTAAAAATAAACTTCAGACACATGCAACAATACCGAGAATCTTAAAGACATAATATCCAGCAATATAATCAGTACACACAAAGTTCCATTTATACAAAGCTCAGGAACAAAACCAAGCAGGATTTTTAGAAATGCACTTACAGATGATGACTGACCCATTATCAAGGAAAGTAGTTAACATTGCTCTGAAAGTCCTGGAAATTCTTGATTTTTCATTCTTAATTTCTATATCCACTACCCCCCACTCAGTCTTCCCCAATTCAGAAAACAGTACCCTCATCCATTTAGCATTTCAAGGCAGTAAGTGAGAAATCATCTTTAATTCTGGTTTTTCATTAATTTCCCTACTTCTAATCTATTACGTCTTATTAGATCTAAGACCACTATATTTCCTGAGTATGTCTATGTCCCTTACCAACACTACCACTGAAGTCTAAACAATTGTCACCTTTCTTTCTGGATTACTGCAACAGCCTCACAGCTTCCACTCTTGACCACATACACTCCATTCTGCACTCGGCCTCATAGTGACCATTATAAAGGATAAAATGGTGTGGCCAGTTAGCTCAGTTGGTTAGGTCATGGTGCTAATAAAATGTAAAACATGTCACATCACTCTTCTGCATGGGTCCATGTCCTCTGTATGCCACGTCTTCCACATGTAGAGTAGAAGTAGGGTATGTTCACACCTTCAATGACAACTACACATTTCTTCTCCAACATGTCCAAAACTGTTCCTAGGTTTCAAAGTTTTTAACATATCAAGAACTGCTGATTTTAACATCGTATTTTGGTCCCATGTTTAAGATGTTCCACAGATATTTTTACTTCAAAGCTTCAAACTCAAGCTATGCCTGGGTTTTATACTACCCCCAGAAATTAATAATGCTCCCATACCCCTAGGGCTGCCCCCTGTCCCACTCCGTCCCATTTAATAAATATACCTCCCCTCCGTTCGCCACCTGCTGGATGTGAGTGGCTACTACAATGCCATGGATGTCCTGACTTGGCATTTCTCAGACAGGCCTGCTCTGTGTATGTCTTTGGATTCTATGTAGATTTATATTTGTAAAATATTACATTTGTCATGACCAAAAGGAATGTCATTATTGTAAAATTTAGATTCTGGATTCTACACATGAAAACAGTATTATGAAAAACTACTGTTACAACACAAAAAGGTGGGATGCATATCTGTCACAGACCACTGCCACCTTGTCAGTTCATTCAAGAATCTAATCCTAGATTTAGCAGTTTCTGCACAAAGGGAATGGACTATTTTTATTGATAATTCAGTCAAAAATATTAATGAAGATCTATATCATTAAAAGAATAAGTTTATTCAATTGGCTCCAATATAATCCTATTGTCACCAGATCATAAACACCAAATTGTTATTTTCCCTTTGCTAGTAAAGGTATAAGCAGAAACAATTTCAAAAGAAAACATAACACCTAGTAAAAATAATGACAAAAGCCAAAATGAATTATTTGAAAAGAATTTGAGGTAAAAAACCATAGGTATGAGAAGAGAGAAACTACAAATAAACTGCATTGTGATAAAAGAATAAAGCATACAGCTAAAAACCTATGTTTAATTATAATTTTAAAAAAATTATAATTGTTTTTTATAATTTTATAAAGAAAATTATATTTTATAAAGAAAATTTTTTATAAAGAAAGTTATTAGCATCAAGTGTTTCTCGAGTTAATTATAATTTTTTAAAAATTATAATTAACTCGAGAAGCACCTGGTGCTAACAATTTTCTCAAAAGTACAAATATCCAAGTTATACAGAAAATAAAACAACTTACTTTCCACCAAAAATTTCTAATTTTATTTTGAGAAAAGGTAACACCAAGAAAACAATTTAAACTGCAGAAACAATGGTTAGCGTTAAAAAAAACATAATCAAAAAGATATACCATGTTATAAGTACTTAACAAACTTATAAACCATTTCTTCCATAAGATTCTCCATATTTTAAGTTCATATGTTGTTATGATCAGATTTACAATTTTTCAGAAAAGACGGGGGAAAAGGTGTGATTATCAGCTAGATGTGCTCACTGCATGCTCCATTATTTATCTGCAAGGCCTGAGTCACTGAAGTGCAGTTGACAGGCATTTTAATAAACTGGACAGCCATTTGTTCTTCAGGACAAGGCGTGTTTCCCCAGAAGCAATCAGAAGAAAACAGGAAGCAGCTCAGCACTCTGCACTGCAACAGGCCACCTTAATAACTAACCAGCATCACTCAACGGCTAGGCAGCCGGGCCTGGTGCACAAAAACACAGAAGAGATTAGAATTGTGTTTGCTAAAAACCCAGTCCCTTCACATGAAAAATCTTTATATGAATTTGGGTCATACTACGTTTTAGACTTGGAGATAAAATTAACCATACTAATTTACAACACCTTTTGTAGGGTTTTAACTTTAAGGAATGAAGGCAATGTTGAAGCAATGTGGTAACAGCATTAGGCTGTGTGTAATGCCTGCACAAGTTTCCTTAAAAGTCAGGAGGCCACAGGGTTACCAATCTGTTCATTTCAGACCTAAACAGTCAGCTCTATAGAAATAAAAATAAATTTTTGCCTCAAATATCCAAACCCAAAATGTAATCTTAGGTCGTTCACCTCCTAAATTACAAGAAAATGTGAATAACAACAAAACAGCACATATAATGAATTTTGCCACCTGATGCAAAGCTTCATACTAGTAAAAAGGTAGAAAAGTACGACACAACCTTTTCAATAGGCAGTCCCTTCTTCCAGGGACTCTGCTTTCAGGGACTGAGTATGTGATCCTTTTCCCCAAGTCCTCCATTACGTTGCTTGCTGTTGCATCATTTTCTTAAGAGGACACCTGTCCTTCCTCTTCAGGAGACTTGGGGGCCCTCTTGGATCGAGACCTGGACTTCGATTTCCTCTTGGATACCCGGGGAGGGCTCCCAGTCATAGATGAAGACCTGGACCGTGAGCGAGACCTGGAGGCCGAGGAGGACTTGGATCTTCGCGCAGAGCTCGATTTGGAGGTGGATGCAGAGCGAGAGCCAGTGGAGGACCCAGACTTCGAGTGAGACCGGCTGCTGTGATATCGGCCATAGCGAGAGCGGCTGTAGCGAGAGCGACTGTAACCAGATGAGCTGTAGCGAGATCCGCTGTAGCGAGATTCCCTGTAGCGAGATCGGCTGTGGCGAGATCGGCTGTAAGGAGATCGGCTATAGCGAGATCGTCTGTAGGGAGAGCGGCTGTAATGCGACCGGCTGTGAGGAGATCGGCTGTAGGGAGACCGGCTATAGCGAGACCCCTTATGGCGAGATCGGCTGCGGGACTTGGAGCAGCTCGGACCCCGGGATCGGCTGCGGTGTCGCCGCCTGGGACTGCGGCTCCGCCGTCCGTAGCCGCCGCCCCCGGCCCTGCTGCGTGGCGCTCCATGGCGGCTGCGAGGCAGGTCCCGGCGGCCATAGCGCGCCACCTGCACCCGCAGCTCGCGTCCGTCCAGCTCCGCCCCGTCCATGGCGGCCTCGGCGTCTTCCGCATCGCGTTGGTCGTGGAAGCGGACGAAGGCGAAGCCCCGGGGCGCCTTGGTGTGCGGCTCCCGCGGGATGTACACGTCGCCCACCCGCCCGTATTTCTCGAACACGCGCCTCAGGCTGTCGGGAGAGGTGCGGTAGGTCAGGTTGTCCACCTTCAGGGTGATCATGCCGTCCACGTCGGGAGGGGGGCGACCGCAGCTCATGGCTCCTGAAGCGGCCTGGGCCGGGGAACTGGCGCTGCCCTGGGCGCGGGCGGTGAGACCGACGTTCCTCTCTGGCGGTTGCGCCCCGCGTGGGGACGCCGGGAAAAGATCGGCGGAGAGGCGGGCCGCCAATCTCCGCAGGGAGCGCCCTGGAGCAGCAACTCGCAAATTCCTAATTCCAGGCCAAATACTCCAGGACTCAGAGGAAGGTTTCCTCTTGGTGGCTGAACTCCAAATGAAACCAGGGCCCAAAGATCCTGGCTTTATACCTGGGCAGCGTCCTAACCTAATCAGAGCCCAGATAATGTGATCACTGGGCTGGGTTTAGATTGGACGTCCCACCCACCCATGCTTCTTCCTTTTATTTTACATTTTAAATCAGTCTTAAGAACAAAACTAAGTGATAAAAGGTCAGTCTATGGGAACAGGCAATCCAGACAAATACTAATGAAACTGAAATCTAACGCTTTTTTTAATAGTAATTGAAAATTACTATAAAATTGAAAATTACTGAAAATTCCCTAGGAAGGCGTTGCAGTGATGAACTTAATGCACCTAAACAAAGTATAGTGACACATAGAGAGCCGAGACTGAGAATTATAAGGTAAAACTGAAAAATCTGCACTCAGGATGGAAGTTTGTTTTCCTTGTAACGCCATTTTCTCAGAAATCAATAGTGCAGAGAACGAAACTAGTAATGCAGTAATAATTTGCACAACAAACAACACTTTGATCATATAACCTGTAATAACCAAAAATACATCGAAAACATTTACCAAAATTTCCCAATACAAGACTACGAAATAAATATCAATTAAAATTTCATAGTTCAATAAATTGAGCACATCTTGATCTCAGTGAAATGATATTGAAGGTCAAAGATAAAACACCTGAATCCAGTCATATTTATTTGAAAATTAATAACCACATTCTAAAACTCTTACTTTTCTATGTTGAAGTCAAGCAATTAGTAAAACAAAACCAAAACAAAAAAGAAAATAAAACATTAAAAGGATAGAATTATAAATAAATAAAAGGGGCAATATGTTTTTTTAAAAAAGGGTGATTAATAAAACTGAAATCTAACACTTTTAAAGAAAGAAAAACCTAGCAATACTGATGAATAAATACAGTTTCTACCTCTGGAAAGGAAATATACAGAAAGGGCCGAGAGCATCTTGGACTGCTGGAAAATAAGGATGTGGTAAATTGAAAGAAAACAAAAGTATTCGTGGGCTAATTTTAGAGTGGTACAAAAACCAATAAAACAGCTCCCAATGGCCAAATCTTGAACAATTTAAGGAACAAACTAAAGTACTGCTATATTATATTCTAAAATATAAAATAAATATGAATTTGTGCTGTTGTAAATAAATGATTAGATAAATTAACACATTGGAGAGAAGAGACAGAAACTCCTCTGCAGGAAAATTCTAAATATTAATTAAAATGTTGCTTCTTTTGAAAATGTTCTGTAACCTTATATAAATAGAATTTTTTAAAAAATCTTTTAATGTATCATGAGTTTTATTTCCCTCATCTATGTCATTCCGTGTAGCTGTACTTGGTGCTGTTGCCTGCTGTAAGGTGTTCAATGGAATAAATGTTTGTACTGCTGATGGGCACTTGTGTTGTTTCCACTTTGGCCTCTTACAGTGTTGCTCAGAACATGCTTGGACATGTATACTGGAGCTCATGTGTCCCCTTATCTATGAATGGATCCCTTGTCATAGAATACAGGCAGCCCACTGTAACCTCTGGGTTCAGCATCAGTGAATTCTGCCAAATGTGGGAAGAAATTATTCAGAAGAAAAAAAATAAAAATAAATAAAACACATTACAGTAAGCAATTATTCACATAGCTCTTTCATCATAATGTAAGTAATCTAGAGATGAATTAAAGTGTATGGGAAGGTATGTATAAGTTACGTGCACATACCAAGCCATCTTATATATGGACTTGAAAATCCTCAGAATCCTCAGGGGTTACTAAGGACCAAATCCCCTCCACCTGAAGGATGTTAAGGGACAACTGTATGTGAATTCAAACTTTATTATGCCTGATTGTTTTCAACAGTTTTTTTTTTTTTAACAATTTACACAAAATAGCTGTGTATGAGGGTGCTCAATGCTCTTTACTTTTGCAAACCTTTGGCGAATATCAGACTTTTTAGTTTTTAGCCAGTTAGGCGAGGGCATTAAGATCTGTGTTACTTATGATTGCATCCCCACACAGCAGCCTGGGTAACACAGTGAGACTTAAAACTTGAAAAAAATTTTTTCGTTTTCCTAATTACAAATAAGAGTGAGTAGTTTTTTCATGTTTATTGGCCATTTGGATATTCTCACTTATGAAATGCCTATTATGTATTTGGTCTATTTTTCTATTGGGTGGTGTCCTCTGCACTTGCTCTTCCTCGCATGTGTAATGGAATCAGCCTTTACTGGGTATGAGTAACACAATATTGTTCACATTCCTTGGTTTGTCATTTCTGTTTTTCATATCTTTTGATGAACAGAGATCCTTCTTTATTTCTGACAGTAAAATATTATTTAAAATAGCTAACATGCATGACGATTATAAAATGGCAAACACTGTTCAATTTACTCCTCATAGAATAACTTATTTAATTCTTACTATGACCTATAAGAAAACCCATACCTCTGATTTTTAGATGACAGAACTGAGTCATGGAGACATTAAGTCACTTGTTCAAGGTGGTAGAGCTAGCACTGTTAGAATCTAACACCATTAGAGTCAAATATTTGACAATCTCCAAAATGATTCCTTAAACAACAAAAAATGACTTCTTCCTTATAAAACTGTGATATTTGAGTTGATATCAACAGCACATCTAAGCACAGTATACTGACACCAGACACAGATGCATGTACAGTTGGCCCTGGAAAAAGAGGGGATTCAGGATGCTGAAACCCTGTGCAGTTGAAACTACTTAAATACTTTTGACTCCCCACAAAAATGAACTGCTAATTGCCTATCATTGACTGGAAGTCTTACAGATATCATAAACAGTCGATTAACACAGATTTTGTATGTTACATATATACTGTATTCTTACAGTAAAGAAAGCTAGAGAAAAGAAAATGTTTTTAAGAAAATTATAAGGAGAAAACATAACCGTTTACAAGATGAATAGCCTGTCTGAAATGGCTGGTAGCCTCTCTGCAGACCTCAATGTACATTACACATCAGGCATTTCAACTTTCCTTTGCCTCTTGGAAACATTTCCAGCATCACTAGTGGCACTTCATATAGGCCCATAGTATTATTCAACCTTTAGGATGTTGCCCTAAACATCATGAAAAATATTCAAGAGATCACTTTTTACTGGGATAGACAATTTACTAGAGAGAAAAAATTGCTCAGGCAGATATGATTAGCATCCTACAGCATTTTAAGAGGATACTCACAACATGAGCTCACTGCAGTGGCAAAAGGAAGAGGCTACAAAATTCTTACAATAATATAGTGTGTACTATAGTTAATTTTTTTGCAATTATGATTTCATACTGTATCTTTACATTTGTTTACATTTATCTCAACTTCAAATGACACTATGTATGGTTTGTGTGTGTGTGAAAATTCCAATAAACTTTAACTCTTAGAACTGTACATATCTTAAGGTAGTAAATGTTAAAATACACTAATATCTATAAATATTTTATGCATTCATGACATACCTCATTTTTTTTCAATATTTCTAGAGTAAAAGATGCATACAGGAGTTTTTCAAATTGTTCTAACTCTTCAAAAAATTTACCAAGATGGTTGTGGGAAAAAAAAATCTCTGTATAAGTGGACCCATGCACTTCATTTGTTCAAGATTCAACTGTCTATGGGGGAGTCTATGTTGAATAAAGGTGGCTTACCAATCCCATGAAAAGCAATTGACAATTCAATAAGGGATATTGATATTAGGGGGGAAATAAAAATAGAGCTCTACCTTACACTACTTAGAAGAGTAAATTAGTGATGGATTAAGGACTGATTGTTTAAAAGAGAACTTTAGGGCTATCTGAGAATATACGGAAGAATGTGTTCATGAATTCAAGGTGGAAAAAAATATCTTAAAAAAGAGCCAAAAGCACAAACAACAATGAAAATGTCTGACATATTTAAGTCATTCCAGTGTAATGATGACATAAAAAATTGAGACATGATCAGGATAGAAGAAGAGTTTTGTCATATGTAAAATAGACAATGAATAAGTGTACTGAAAACTTCCACAGATCAATAAAAACAATGAGTCACCCAAAAGAAGGGGTCGAAGCCTTAGAAAAGGCAACTTGAAAAAAAGGAAATTCAACTGCCCAATAAATATGAAATGTACAAGATCACTAGTCATTGATAAAATAGAGCGAGACATTTTTCTTAATTTCAATTAGAAAAAGTGAAAAGTTCTGACGATATAAAAATGAGCCAAGAAGTCAGGCATGGTGGCTCATGCTTGTAACACCAGCACTTTGGGAGGTTGAGTTTGGCGGATCACGAAGTCAAGAGATTGAGAGCATCCTGGTCAACATGGTGAAAAATACAAAATTAGCCAGGTGTGGTGGCATGCATCTGTAGTCCCAGCTACTTGGGAATCTGAGTCAGGAGAGTAGGTTGAACCCGGGAGGTGGAGGTTGCAGTGAGGTGAGATCACACCACTGCACTCCAGCTGAACAGAAACAGGAGTACACTAGGAGCAATATTTTCTACAAATTATTTGTGTGTTCATGTTTCTTGTCTTTTAATATGCAACTTTAAAAAAAAATTCTAGCCATTCCAATCAGTCTGCCTAGGATAAGATTGTGATGCAGCTGAAGAAAACAAGCAGAAACTCAGTTTTCACATTCCAAATTAGAACGTGAGCCAAGCTACCGTCTCCAGATTGTCAGAATTCCTTTCTTCCTTGCACTTTCATATCTACAATTCGACCTCATCACCTAATTTTAGCAATCTCCAATTCTCGCCTGGAATATAGGAGCAAGAAAGGCTCATCTGCCAGTGGAAGATGAGTGGAAGTAGTTGGTGGAAGTAGTCATCCAGATGCTAACATGTTGGAGCTGACCCAAGGAACTAACGGAACTTCTCCAACAGATTTTTATCAAAATATCTGTCTTTAACCTCACTTTGACTCCCAAATCTGTAGGTTCCCGGTGTCAAAAAATCTTGATTCCTTTTGGTTCTGCACTGGGGATTCCATTACCCTCCAGGTTTTCTCCCTGCCAACCTAGCAGTCAGCTTCACAGTATTTCTTAAGATGGTTCCTACTTTTCCAGCTACTCCTGTCTTATCTCCTGTTCAGTTTTCTCCAGTTTAAAATACATGCAATAAAAA